GTTATCAGCAGAGTGATTAGTGATGAAAGAGGTGTCACATGACCCGGTGTTAGGGCTTAGAGCGTGGCACTAGGAGGTCCAGCAGCATAAGGTCCAACTTAACTGAGACCAGTAGCTCTGAACAATCATGGCCAGTAGGAACAAGGAACCAGGTACGTTTGGGAGAAATGCCTTTACAGAAAGAGGATGAAATACAGGTGGATAACAGCTGTTCTAACTCCTCCTGTGTGCTTAAGTTCACAGGTTTTAAGTGTCGCCAAAACATGATAATATTTGTCCAAATCTCCTCCTGTTATCTGAAGACTTTGTCTGTTTTAGCGGCTGTTAATAACTCTCTCTCTCTCTGTCTTTGTTTTCATTTCAGTTGATGCCGATGAGATTAAGAAGCTAGGAAAGAGATTTAAGAAACTCGACCTAGATAACTCCGGCTCCCTGAGTGTGGAGGAGTTCATGTCCTTACCAGAGCTCCAGCAGAACCCCCTCGTGCAGCGAGTCATTGACATATTCGACACCGATGGAAACGGAGAAGTCGACTTTAAAGGTAAATTAATCATGAAACTGTTTCCCTACTCCCTCTGATATTCCCTTTGTTTTTAAAATGAATATGTGTTAACAGTATCCTTTTGTTTTAAAGATACAGTCTGTCTGCTCCTGACTGTCCTCTGATTGAAATGCAATGCAATGGGCTGGCAAATGCACAACATCTGGCACGAGAAGTCTGACATTTGCCAATTTAAGAGCATTATTAAGTGCTTTACCATTAAGTTATTAATCAGTTAGAGGTGGGTGCATTTTCTGTAGCACTTGGTGTAAAACCTTTGCAAGACATGCCCTCTATCCTTGATTATGTCATTGTTTACACAATAGTACTGGCATATGATTTGATTGGCTGACGCTTCCGGAGAGTCCTTGAAAAGTTGAACATTGCTCAACTTTTGAAGCGAGCAACGCGCGCAACGCGCGCAAAGCGAAGCGACGGAGCCACAAAGCAGTTCAGCAAAGCGTGACGTCACCCCATTCAAAGTGAATGGGCAGAAGCGTTGAAGCTTCAACGCACGCTGCCGTGTGGACGGGCCGTCAGGCTGAGCCGCCGAATCCCTCGGAAAATCATAAAAGCCATTTTCAACTGTTTTCTGGTGGAAGTTTAACACTTTCTGAAAAAAACATTATGATAAAAATGTTTTATATATTTATAATTCTGCAAATATTACGATAAACTCACAGCTATTTCGCGGCCCGGCAGTAACACAACCTGCATAGTCTGAGTCTGTTCTCAGATAAACAAATGTAACCCCTTCTTTTTTTTTAACCAGAATGTTTTCTCTACTGTGTTTACACTTTCTTTCCATGTATATGGGTATGTGAAGCTGCATCTTATTTCCACTGTTGATCCTTTTACTGTACAGATCTCAGTAAAAGTGTAAGTCACTCTGACCTTGAACCACTGAAACACAGAGCACATCAGGAACCACAATCAAAGTGATTAACTTAAAGTGCACCTGTCATGCAAAATGCACTTTTGTACGTCTTTTATACATGAATATGTGTCCCCGGTGTTCCAGGGAACTCACCAAGTGTCAGAAAACACAACCCTCTCTATTTTCCTCCATACCCAAATCTCTAAAAAAGGGGCTGCAACGGATCTGATAAAAACTGATCCAGATTTGAACAATTCAATGACGTCACAGAAGTGGCGCTACGGCTATTGGGCCAACTCCACCAATCAGGAGGAGAAAGTCACGGCCATTGCCGGTCGAAAGCGCTGGAGACGCTGTAGTACATATGCCAGGCCAGTAGATGGTGCTGTTCTCACAGAATCAGCCCTTGCTAAAACAGGGGTAAAACAGTGCAAATTGAGCGAAATGAGGCATGGCTAAAATGCATGTTCAGTTTGGTATTTTGAAAAATAAAAAGTATAAATATGCCTTATATAGGTATGGTCCTACACTATATTATTATAATATAGCATGATAGGTCCACTTTAAGTTAATAATTAGTTAGACACAGTGCATAAAACTACAAATGTGTTTATGGGGTTAATCATGTAACCAGAACAAGCTTCAAGATCTCCAATTATCAGCAGACATTATTATAAAAATGTTTCTGTACATGAATCTATCTACTAGAGCTTAACTGAAAATAAGAATTATATCACATGTATCATAGTTCAGTTTAAAAAATGTAAGACATATACAGCATAAACATTTCACACACAAGATAAGAGCCTGTTAATTCCTTTTAAGGCAGTTTATATCTGCTGCAAATACTAATGTATGACTTTGTTGTTTCTGAATTAAACCGGGTAGAACAGAAGTCCAAACACAAGGTGTTAACATGCCAGCATGAACATTACAAGATTAGGAATACTATTAATTGCACAAGTCAGTGCTTTTATTTTCTTGTTTCCTCTCTGTTCGCTCTGTGGTCAGGTTGCTGCCGAGTTAAGTGTGAAAAATAAAAATAAATGCAGAACACTGAGGTGTGAGCAGCTTCTGTCTGATATACAGATCAGAAAGATAAGAAGGCTGCTTTGAACTCAGAGGGAGGGAATATAACACTGAGGTCAGAGAGGAGAGAAGAAACTAGCGGGGGGTGTTGCAGATGTGTGAGCGATAAGAGTTGAGTCAATATGTAATAACTTCTAAGAGAATATACCTCTAAATAACTTTAAATATATATTTATAAAAACGGAGCTGGTGATTCTTTAAGTCGGCAAAATGTTTTCACAGAGAGAGAATGGAACCGTTATGCATGCACTATATTCCAATGTTCACGCTTGTAAAAGTGATAAGCAAACTGATATTTGATGCAAATGATTGGAGCAAAGGACAGTGGCAACGCACAACAAGATCTTCAGAAAATCCATCAAAGAAATTGTAACGTCTCTGAGTTTCGACAATTCTACACAAATACATTTAAAATGTTTCTGGTAGGTTTGCCTTTTACACAAATCTATCCCACTTATTCAAACATGTGAACTGAGAGCAGGAAGACAACTAATCCACTCCAGTTAAACTCATAGCTGCTCCTCTCATCTGTGAGACTATAAAACTTGTCAGATTAAATAATGTTCACAGGAGCTTTACAGAATCATTACATCAATACACTTTTTATACTTAATGAAGGAGGAACGATGTGTTTCAAGATGCCTTTCCTCTCTCACCAATGAGCAGAACACGGATATCAGGCTGGTTAACATACACATTTACTTCCTGTTTAGACTATTAATATGCATGATGAGCAAAACCCAAGTAAACACCCACTAAACAATAAAGTGTTGTTTTACAAAGTGTACACGTAAGAAGACAGTTCTGTTAAAAAAAACATTTCACTGCCAATATACCACAAACACCAGAAAAGAGCATTCAAATGAAGAAGAGAAAAACCGTTCATCTCTATGAGCACTGAGGACGTCACACAGCCTGCCGGTGTAGTGAAGGAACAGGAAGGCATTAACCTGAGAAACCATGAGGCAGTCTTACTGAAGAGGATGAAGAGCACAGTATTCATTATAAGAGAGAATGGAAAATGCCATATCTTTCTTTGGTTTGTTTCTTTTCTGTTCTCTCTGCTGTCAGGTTGCTTCTGTTTGCAGAGAAATGCAGAACACTAAGAAGTGAGAAACTCACATGCCTGTAAGTGTCAACCCAACATGAAACACACACACATCACACTCATAATCACACTATAGTTAAAGAACGCCTTTGCTGTGTTTATACTACTGACTTCTGAAAATAAGCTTGACAAATAATTATGTTCTCTCTGCAGTCAGGTTGCTTCTGTTTGCAGAGAGATGCAGAAAACTGAGAAGTGAGAAACTCACATGCCTGTAAGTGTCAACCCAACATGAAACACACACATCACACACATAATCACACTATAGTTAAAGAACGCCTTTGCTGTGTTTACTGACTTCTGAAAAGAAGCATGAAAAATAATTATGTTCTCTCTGCGATCAGGTTGCTTCGATTTGCAAAGAAATGCAGAACACTAAGTCTTTAAATACTGTCCGTTGCCTGTACGTGACAACCCAGCATGAACTGTCACGGTGATGGTAAGGCTGCGGGACCCAAACACAGTCCAAAGAAAGGGGAGGAGGATATAGGGATACAATCAAAAGGCTAGCTTTTATTAAAAAGCCGGTACAAAAGGGTAATGCAAAATACACAAAACAGGGCAGGGAATCTGGGGCAGCGGTGGGGAAACTGTGGGGGACGGGAGTGGACCGGGGAGCAAGAGCCGAGAGAGGAGAGGGGAAAGGAGTGAGGGACCCCGACGGGAAAGGATCTGGTGCCAGTGGGACCCCCGACGGAGCTGGAGTCGGCAGAATCAGAATCAGAATCAGGTTTATTACCAGGTACGAGGAATTTGACTAGGTGTCGGGGTGCATACAAACATGAATTAAAAACATAGGTAGAGAACTAGAAAAATATTAAAAATAATAAGAATATATAGTAAAATATAACAGTATTTACTTTGCAATGGAATCAAATAGAGGAATAAAATATGGAATAAAAATCAGCTGTAATACAAAATAATGTTGTACATTGTGTACTAGGGGTGGGAATCACCAGGCTCTCCACGATACGATACTATTGCGATACTTAAGCCACGATACGATAGTATTGTGATTCTACAATATGCTAAGTATTGCGGTACGATATATTGCGATATTGCAAATCACATGGGTCATATCCATGTCCGTCTTCCCTTCCTGGTTAAAAAATGTATTTGCAATATGAATAGTTTATGTAAATAACCCAATTTGTGTTCTTTGACCCTGAAAATGAGATGGCATTGTTTTTGTTACTTTCATTGCAATTGAATACATGTCTTAACGTAACTTCCTGTTTTATATATGACCATCTTTTATCTTTATCACTGCTTGCAGTTTTAATTTTTAATTTTAGTCTTCAGCTAATGAATTTCTTGATGTAAAAGTTAGATTAAGAAAAAAAGAGAAGCTGAAATCTAAACCTTTCTGAACAAAAATGCTGACTTTTATTTCAATTTAACACAAGAACACTTGAGAAATGGAAGATTTTGCAAACTGTTGCTCGAAGTAAGCTTCTGTTCTTATTTGATTAAAATGCACGATAATCGAAATTGTACATGGAGTACAATGTGATGCTTCCAGGGAATCCAAGACGCTGATCAGGATTCTCCAAAAGTTATTTATTATGAAGAAATTCAAAAAAATAAATTGCATAAGAACTCTTAAGCTAGACTTCTGTGTTATCACTTACTCTACCAATTAAAAAAAGCATGCATAGTTGAAGCAGTAATATAGAGCAGCTGACCATCACCTGATCCTAATAATACATCATGTTTGACACCTCGCCATGATTCAGTTCAAGCTGCCGGCAGCACAGTCTTCTAGACGTACATGCTGCCGACTCATACTAGATCCGTCCACATCCTGCACAGCCTCGCTCTCCACAGGGATTTTTCAATGTAATTCTTCTTTGTTTCCATCAAGTGAGCATCTGAAGAAAATCAAAAAGACTTTGTGTAAAGTTACAGCTAGAACTGTGACTATAAAAATGTGGAGTGGTTCTGTTTTATCTGATGCAGGAGGCTCTAACCTGACTGGACTTCACACCATGTGCTGCAGTGACTCTGAAGTTCTCATACACAGGATCAGAGTCCAACTGATGAAGAGAGAAGACAACATACTGTAAGGCTTCATGGACCTCATTCATCAATCCTGTTTATACTTTAACATTTTAGCAAACATGTTTTCATTAGATTATAAAACACAAGTTGACTTTCCAGAGCATTTACAAGCAGTGGTGTAAAGTACATTTACTCAAGTACTTTACTTATGAACAAAAATATGAAAGACTTGTACTTTACTTGAGTATTTCAATTTGTCGATGCTTTGTACTTTTGCTCCACTGCGAGATAAATGGTGTACTTTTACTCCACTACATATATTTAATACCTTTAGTTACTTTGCAGATTTGGATGAATGATGTGAAATATAATCAACTCTTAAATCAGACTTTAGTTACACCTAGAGTAAATTCACAAGCTACCCTGCAGTGGACCAAATGGACCAATCTGCAAAATGACTACTTTTACTACTTTTACTTTTGGTATATTTTGATGCTGATACTGTTTTACTTTTACTTGAGTAACATTTTGAATACAGGACTTATACTTTTAACAGAGTATTACTACACTCTGGTACTTCTACTTTTACTGAAGTACAAGATCTGAGTACTTCTTCCACCTCTGTCCATGAGTCAATTTATAACCAGGTCCTCTCTCTCACCTCTATCTCTTCAGGTTCATGTGCTTCAGTGGTGGGGTGAGAAATAGTTTTCTTCTTCCTGGATTGAGTACAATAATATCAAATACAGAATTCATGACAGTGAAACGTAGGGTTGATAGAAGATTTTTTTTTTAAATGGTGGGAGAACTGATGGATTTCTTTCGTTGTACCTCATCCACAGACCCACGAGGAACACAGGAATCAGAATCAAGACCAGCGGAGTCGTCCAGATGATATTCAATATCATTGTTGAACTCCCTAGAAACATGAATACATATGTGATACGTCTCACTAGTAGATACATCTCGTCAGTGTCATCCACGTCTGACACCATGGAGGTTCCTCCTTGAAGACTGACATGTTTTAGTATTTCATGGGTTGCTGAATCAGGTCTGGTGAATGTGGAGAACTTACCTGCCACAACACTCAGATGTAAGGTGGAGTTACTACGTCCTAACTTGTTCTGGGCTCCACAGGAATAACTCCCACTGTGTTCAGCTCTGAAGTCAGTGATGTTGAAGATCTGTCCTGAAGCTTTTGGAGAGTCTTCATTCTCCTTGTACCAGGTGTAGTTAGCTGCTGGGTTAGCATCACTGCTACAGGTCAGAGTCACTGAACTGCCCTCCTCTATCTCAGCAGAGGGACTCACTGACACAGAGGGGAGCTTTGGAGCATCTGGAAGAGAAACCATAAATACATTTAATATTACATTTAAAGATCAGTTCTCACAGTGGAAGATACTTTTAATTGACAAAAGTTCAGAAAAAACTAAGTGGGTGTTGGAGCTTGATCTCCTTTTATATAATACACTGTTACTGACACCGTGGAGTAAACACATTGTTGGAGCCCTGATGATGTTTTTAGATGATCCACAACCAAAGGTAAATGGAGCGTTGACAGTGACCACAGTGTTCAGCCTCAATGTAGGAAGTGGTGAACCCTAGGTGATTGGGATTGTGTGTGAACAGTTTTTTGATGAGGGACATTGTGTAAGCATGATGATGATGCATTGTGTACATAAGGCTATGGTAAGGATTCATGTTAATCTGTGAATTAATGCATTTTCAGCACATTTTTCCGCTTGATTGTTTTTCTTATAGAAATGTCCAAAGTAAGTTCCCCTGTTTGCCCACAGGAAATGATCCTGGTGCAGTGTCTTTGGACACAGCCATGTCTACTGGCTACCTCTGGTGTGTGATTACGATAAATAAAGTGCAATAATGTTTTGTCAGTGGAAGACTAAGTAAACTCACACACTGAAGGAGAGGGGAAGTCTTCATGTCCCTTTAAAGCACAGGTATAACTTTCTGCAGAATCATAATTGAAGTCTGCATAAAGAGATGTGTCTTCCTTGACTTCCTGTCCATTCTTGAACCAGATGTAGGAAGTATGACCAGGTGGACAACTGCTGAGACACTGAAGGTTAACATCCGATCCTGATCTGCTCACCTGCACCTGGAGATCTGAATAAAGGTAGAATGAACAGACTGTCACTATTTTTCTAAGTTTTACATTTTGACATGAATAGATATACTTTCCAGTGTACATGTTACCTGTGACGGACAGAGTGACTGGAAGACCCGCGTATTTACCGTTGTTTGTTGTGAACCTGAACATGTACTCAGCTGAGTCGCTCTCTCTCAGGTTTTTGATTCTCAGAGTGCAGATGTTGTTTTCACAGAGATCCTCTACACGACCTGCGTACTCTGATTCTGTGGTCAAATCTACACGTTCACCACCTCTCCATTTAGTAAACCAGAATTTGTTCTGTACTCTGTTAAATCCTCCTTTCAATATGGATGGGTATGTGTAGCTGCAGTTTATTTCCACTGTTGATGCTTTCACTGCACAGATCTTAGTAGAAGTGTAAGTCACGCCCCAGCTGCCCTGACCATGTACCACTGTAACACAGAGCACATCAGAGACTATGATCAAAAGTCATGGCTTAAGTTAACAAACTAAAAGTGGATCATACTACCAATATGATGTGGGGTAATTAAAGTTAGGAAATGTTCCGTTATCTCCAATAATTAGCTGTCATGGTCATTACAAACTAGAACTGAGCTGAAAGTATCATATTTAAAGGTCTCTCATAACTTATTAAAGTTGAGATGCAAGATTATTTCCTACTAATAGCTTAGGTCTATTCATTCTTAAAACTATTTTTTATGGAATTTTCTAACTGGCTCAAATAATAACAGAACAGAAGTCCAAACACAACGTGTTTACTCAGTTATATATGTGCAGTGCAAAGGAAGAGAAAGATTGCCATGACACATGACTTTTTCATAGGTTAATAATATAGTTATCTCCACAACTTCACAACTATGTTCTCACGTAACAATCCTGGTCAACACTTTTCTTTTTATTTAGAATAAAATTGGCACAAATATATTTGAACAGAATATAAACATGAGGTTTGTTTTCTGAATATTACATCATATACTGAAGCTGCTCAGTGAACTACAGCAGCAGACTGGATAAAGTTACTTAAGAAATATTACAATGGTTTTCTATTCATTTGCACCAAAATGTGTTTATCCAATGAGACAACAAGATTGTGGGGAACTAAAATCAGTCAGACATTGACCAGCTAAAGAGCTGTTGGGATGCTTAGGAATGTTGTTTGAGAATTAAATAAAATATTCAAGTTAATGACACTGACGATACAAGCTGAACATCAGATACGTTCAGTTCAGCAGTGCTGAATTCAGGTGAGAGGAAATGATCCTGGTTCAGTGTCTTTGGGCACTGTCATGTCTGCTGATGGCCTCTGGTGGGTAAATACCATAAATGAATGCAATAGTGTTATGTTAGTTGTTTTAAGTAAACTCACACACTGAAGGAGAGGGGAAGTCTTCATATCCTTTTACAGCACAGGAATAACCATCTGCAGAATCATAAGCGATTTCTGCATAAGGAGATGTGTCTTCCTTTATTTTCTGTCCATTCTTGAACCAGATGTAGGAAGTGTGACCAGGTGGACGACAACTGCTGAGACACTGAAGGCGAGTATTCGGTCGGGATCTGCTCACATGCACCTGGAGATCTGAATATAGGTAGGACAAAAAAACTATTAAATATGTTCATATATACATATACGTAGATGATATCATGCACAGTGTTTGCAATCATTTTGACTTCTAGACATGAATATCATTTCAAGTGAAAAAGTTACCTGTCACAAACAAAGTGACTCCAGGTTCACCCAAATATTTATCTTGCTTTGTTTCGAACCTGAACTTGTACACAGCTGAGTCGCTCTCTCTCAGGTTTTTGATTCTCAGAGTGCAGGTGTTGTTTTCACAGCGATCCTCTACACGACCTGCGTACTCTGAGACTGTTTTCAGATCTACAGGTTCCTCATCTTTGTTCTCAGCACACCAGAATGTTTTTCCTACTGTGTTAACAACGTCTTTCCACGTAAATGGGTAAGTGTAGCTGCAGCTTATCTCCACTGTTGATCCTTTCACTGCACAGATCTCAGTAGAAGTGTAAGTCACTCCCCAGTCTTCCTGACCCTGAACCACTGTAACACAGAGCACAACAGAAACCACACTCAAAGTTAATGACTTAAAGGGGACCTATTATGATAAATCCTCTTCTTCATGTCTCTTCTACATCAACATGTGTCCCCTCTTCTTCATGTCTCTTCTACATCAACATGTGTCCCCTCTTCTCCATGTCTCTTCTACATCAACATGTGTCCCCTCTTCTCCGTGTCTCTTCTACATCAACATGTGTCCCCTCTTCTTCATGTCTCTTCTACATCAACCTGTGTCCCCTCTTCTTCATGTCTCTTCTACATCAACCTGTGTCCCCTCTTCTTCATGTCTCTTCTACATCAACCTGTGTCCCCTCTTCTTCATGTCTCTTCTACATCAACCTGTGTCCCCTCTTCTTCATGTCTCTTCTACATCAACCTGTGTCCCCTCTTCTTCATGTCTCTTCTACATCAACCTGTGTCCCCACTTCTTCATGTCTCTTCTACATCAACATGTGTCCCCTCTTCTTCATGTCTCTTCTACATCAACATGTGTCCCCTCTTCTTCATGTCTCTTCTACATCAACATGTGTCCCCTCTTCTTCATGTCTCTTCTACATCAACATGTGTCCCCTCTGTGTAAAGAGACTCTGAAAGTTTCAGGAACAAAGATTCTCTCTCTTTTTGTCCTGATCCATTTATATAAAAACCTGTCTGAAAATGAGCTGATCAGATTTTGGTCACTTTATGATGTCATAACGATGTTTTGTCTTGTGTAACCATTAGCCAATAACCAACCAAGGTATTGGCTAATGCCACCTTATCACCTGAATCTCCTCCTAGAGCACCATTGTTTTTTTTAACCAAATATCTCGCAGAGGGGCGTGGGGAGGGGCTCCTTATTTTCATCTAAAGTAACAGACAGAGAATCAGCACTTTTGAAACAGGGCTGAAACAGAGGGGTTTATGGGATGCTACTATGCATGACCTGTTTGGCATTTCGAGCCAAACACTTCAGAGACATGTTTTGTATATATCTGAGACCTATAATATATTGATGAAAAACAGTATAATAGGTGACCTTTAAGTTAACAATTAGTAAATAAAACACATGGCATCAAACTAAAAATGTATTTATGGGGTTGATGTAACAAGAACTAACTTCAATATCTCCAATTATCAGCAGACAATATTATAAAAACATTCCCTGAACATGAATCTATCTAACTAAAACTAAAATGAAAACAAAAATGATATCAAGTATTTATCATAGTTGAGTTTCTAAAATGTAAAAACATATATACATATGAAACACTAGAGAATAGGAGCACATTATTTTATCCAAACACTAAACACAATTCAGAAAACCATACACACAAAGTGTAAAACCCCTCATACATCCTGCAGAATGAAGCACTGCACCCAACACTACAGAAACACTTACCAAAACCAAACATTTGCACCAAATGGCACAGACTTCATTTATAGTACAAGACACTTTGTCCAACCAACTACACACTGTGGTGCGCAATCTAAAGCACACTCATCTTTTATGGCGTTTTGTATGTAGTGAATTCGGCATATAAAGATTGTTCAAGTCCACAATATATGTGCAGAAACACAAATATACAGTTGTTATACTTTTATTTTTCTCAAAAACTAATTGGTGCAACATTCATGCACAAAACATAGTTACAGTTGTGCAAACACAAATGATGTCTCTGCCAAATACAGTAAATGGAAAGGAAAAGTTTGAGGAAAGATAAATACAGATACAGCTTTTTCCAGTTGCTAACACACACACATCTCACATGAAGCGTAATTATTTTAACTCGCACTCAAAGAGCAAAACCTGAACTCAAATCTCCAAAACTCTAAACACATGCTCAGCTCTGCACCCAATTTGCAATTCAACGTGTCACTTTTTGCAAAACACTGCACACAGTTCTCTAAGTAAGACACAGACATCTGACATATTCACTTGTTTGCCATTAAAAATGCTACACACATGAACCAATCAACAAATACACATGCCAAGTGACCATAAAACCTGCTTTATTGTTGACTCGTCGATCAGGATGTAAGCACTAGAAAAAGGCTTCATGTAAGAAATGTATAATAACAACAACATATTGTTACTTCACTAATCTAGGCCTATGTGTGTTTGCTGTACGCTTGTATGGAATGTTTCTGTTGTAAAGTGTCCGAGTGTTTAGAAAAGCTACAATTATTACATTGAACATTTGGATTTACATTACCCGGCATAGAGAGAAGGAAGACAACAAATCCACTCGCTGTTAAACTCATAGCTGCTCCTCTCGTCTCCGTGTGGCTTCAGCTACAAAATAAGAAAGAAGTTGATTGATGTCCACAAGAAAAAGCTTCTACATTAAAAGAAAGGGAGTCCTCACAGACCTGAACGTCCCTCTGTGGGCTTGAAGGTAGAAAGGAGACAGAAAGCAGGTGGTTTAAAACACCACTTCCTTCCTCTTCACATTATTGCTTTACATGGTTTGTTGTTTCGCAGAGAGAGACCAGTTTGTGGTAAACAGACCACCTCTCCTCACTAACAAGAGAAGACACATACTAATGTCTTTCTTTATTATAAAAGCAGCCAAAATTCAAGATCTAAAACCATGTTCTGTGAATAAATATCAACAATGCAAATTAAACAAACTACTAATGCAAATTAACATCACTTGATATTATTATGAAACTGCCTGGACAGTTTCATAATGTTTACAGAAAGTCACATTACAACCATTTTTCATTGAGGTATAGCTTGGGTTTTACATTTTATAATAATAATTAAAGCCAAACTTAAACCAAACTACAACATGTATGTCTGTCCGTGAAGAGCAGGACTGTGGCTGTGCTGTGCTCACACACTTCTCTCACTCACACACTTCACTCACTCACACACTTCACTCATAAACTTCACTCACACACTTCACTCACTCACACACTTCACTCACTCACACACTTCACTCACACACTTCACTCACTCATACACTTCACTCACTCACACACTTCACTCACTCACTTCACTCACACACTTCACTCACACACTTCACTCACTCACACACTTCACTCACACACTTCACTCACTCACACACTTCACTCACTCACACACACGTCTCTCACTCACACACTTCACTCACACACTTCACTCACTCACACACTTCACTCACTCACACACTTCACTCACTCACTTCACTCACACACTTCACTCACACACTTCACTCACTCACACACTTCACTCACTCACACTTCACTCACTCATACACTTCACTCACTCACACACTTCACTAACTCACACACTTCACTCACTCACACACTTCACTCACACACTTCACTCACTCACACACTCACTCACACACTTCACTCACTCACACACTTCACTCACTCACACACACCTCTCACTCACACACTTCACTCACACACTTCACTCACTCACACACTTCACTCACTCACACACTTCACTCACTCACTTCACTCACACACTTCTCTCACTCACACACTTCACTCACTCACACACTTCACTCACACACTTCACTCACTCATACACTTCACTAACTCACACACTTCACTAACTCACACACTTCACTCACTCACACACTTCACTCACACACTTCACTCACAACTCACACACTTCACTCACCACTTCACTCACTCACACACTTCACTACTCACACACTTCCTCACTCACACACTTCACTCACTCACACACGGCACGCACTCATACACGGCACGCACGCAGCACACGGCACGAACGCACACACGGCAACGCACATCCAAGGCACGTTCACGCACACACGGCACGCACACACGTCACTAACTCACACACTTCACTCACACACTTCACTCACTCACACACTTCACTAACTCACACACTTCTCTCACTCACACACTTCACTCACTCACACACTTCACTCACACACTTCACTCACTCACACACTTCACTCACACACTTCACTAACTCACACACTTCTCTCACTCAGTGTGACAGTCTGCCTTTACTGTGTTCTTTATACCTTCTGATGTATCCTCACAAACTCTGCACTTTCATCACTGCAGCTTGTATTTTTTAATATTGTTTCCAGTGTTTGTATTTCAAGTGAACTCATGCAATTATTCTATTTTGAAACGACAGATTAGTGACACTAATGCTATCATTAGCATTAGTGTGGACAAGAGTTATGGCAATTTCAACCTTTATTTATGAACTCAAACCAATACAGAACAGAAGGAGAAAAAGGTAAACACATGAAGTACAGAACAAAAGAGTAATAACAGTAAACAACAAAGCAAAATAGACAAATGCATTGAGTTGTGATGGTTATGAACTTAAAGAGTAACAAAGAAATTAACTATTTTAATTGGTGATAATGGACATTTTATATTTACATAAAAAGATGGCAGAATAAGAATGTGTGAACATTAAGGCCGTACACACACCAAAGATAAATGTACTTGGCTCTTGGTAATGGTTTTCCATCAGTGAAATACGGCTCTTTACTGAAACCTAGTGGCAGCAGAATGAAACTGCAACTACATCAGCAAACACATGTTCCTCTCCAATATCCCAATGTGCTTTTCAAAAGCAAAGTGTATTTTGGAATGGATAAAAAATAACACAAACAAGTATTGTTGATATTTCAGTGTAGACAAGAAAAAGAACAGTGTAAAGAAAAATATGATATGAATAAAGTTGATAAATGTACTCGCAAAACAATGGAAATGGTTACAAAATAAATATATACAATTGATTACATTAAGTTGTGAAAGACTTAACAATTTCTTTACATTTGAGCCATTCAGATTAATAAAAACGAGGCTGAAAACTCATCGCCTCATTCTTCGAGAGGTCCACCCTGAGAAATGTATTTAAAAAATCCACATTACCCTGTGTAAATAGAAATGTGATTGTAAAAAAACAGAAGTATCATCCTTCAAAAGCAACGCCTGCTATGTTCAGTGGGATTTATTGACCGTGCTGTACAATGCAGCTGGATCCTCTTCAGAGTCCTGACCTCTGGTCCTGAGAAGTCAATGATGTATTTTTTTGTGGTAATAATAATGCAAAGGAAATTAAATGATATGTGAATAATGGTCCTGTGTGAGGATCTGCTCACCTCGGGGCAGCACTGCTGAACTTGACGGCAGCGTCCTCCGGGACTTCCTGTTGCTCCGTGTGTCTGAGGGGCCGAGCTGCTCTCATGTTGGAGTAAAGAGGGTCTGCCCGGTTGTTGGAGAAGTGAACGCTGGCATGCTGAAGGTCCTCCTGCTGCTCCGGCTGATCAGGTGCACACAGCAGGGATGAAAACACTTTCAGCTACACATTTTTACATTAATAGGTATTTTCATTTAAAAAGATGGCAGCCAGGACAGAAAAGACCAAAGCAACAGCAGCTGTGGTAATTATGGAAAAATATCCCTGCTTCATCAACATGATGCTTTATGGCAGAAAGATTAAAGGATAAAAGGTAGGAAAACCTCTGGATGTACTTTAAATGTAATCACGTCTAAGAGGAGAATCAAACAGATTGTGACAGAAATTAACTTTTTATAGAAGGATGTAAAAAGAGCAGCACTTAAGAATCACTTCAAGACAATGAGACTCTCACCTGTTCCCTGATGTCCGCTCTCTCTTCAGGCTCAGACGAGTCTCTAGAAGCCCTCTTTCTTCTGGTTAGGAGAGTTTATAAAGAAAAAGAAGATCAAATGTTTGCCATCAGACAAACAGACTTTTAATGATTTAACAAACAACGATTAAGATGATCAGATCTGCTGACCTGATCCACAGGAAGACAGAGAGGGAAATGACAGCCAGGAGAACATCAGGGATTGTTCCAGCAGCTGGTAGCTTCCATGATCCTGAGAAACAGTGATCAACAGAGAACAGACAGGTTCTCTGCGGTGTTTCTCTAATGGGTCTATAAGTACTCCTAGGGGTCATTTAGAGTACTGTGGGGGGCACATGTGATTGTTATGCCTATAGTTTGTATTATTTCTAAATTAATGAAACTGTTCCAGTTGAATTTAAATAATAACGTAAATAAACCAAATGTATAATTTATACTCCTATTTTCCCAATTGCAATTACATTCATGGTGAGGCTTTACCTTTATATTTGAATATAAAGAAAACATTATGAACCCTATCACTGATCCAAGAAAAAAATGTAAAAGTCAGACTACTATGCATATGATGCGACTGAAACAAACAAGCCAATATCTGGTAGTAGATGAATGCATAAAACGTACCTGCCACAACAATCAGAGTTAAGGTGGAGTTGCTACGTCCTAACTTGTTCTGGGCTCCACAGGAATAACTCCCACTGTGTTCAGCTCTGAAGTCAGTGATGGTGAAGATCTGTCCTGAAGCTTTTGGAGAGTCTTCATCCTCCTTGTACCAGGTGTAGTTAGCTGCTGGGTTAGCATCACTGCTACAGGTCAGAGTCACTGAACTGCCCTCCTCTATCTCAGCAGAGGGACTCACTGACACAGAGGGGAGCTTCGGAGAGTCTGGAGGAGATGTGTTTAAAGTTATAAACGTTAAAGGGTAGATATAATGGCAATTTGCAAATGTCCAGAGACACAAAGCAGGAAAAGTTTTTCACAAACACAATGCAAAACATTTTAAAGCTTGGAGCATCTGGAGGAGATAACATGAACATGATACATGAATATGAACGCATTTCACATTTAATTCCACAGTGGAACACTTTTTAAATGAACAATAGTTTAATAAAACACAGAGTGGGTGGTTAACTTGATTTCATCCTTTATCAGAAATCTAAAAACTTTGAGGGAAAGTCTTAATCTTTATGTCACGGAAGAAGTTTCCTTCATAATTCTCGTTTATTTTTCTTTCTAGTAGCATCCCTCGTAGCAAGATTATATTTTACTCAAATCAATTGCTCTTATTCCCACCTGCTTTTACAAGTCCCACATGTTCCCAGAATCCCCTCTGTTCATGTGATGAATGTAAGTGTAGATGTACAGTACCTGACACAGAGAGCAGGAAGACAACTAATCCACTCGCTGCTGCAGTTAAACTCATAGCTGCTCCTCTCATCTCTGTGAGACTATAAAACATGTTGTAGTGATCACTGATTCATACACTGGGGTTACATAATTCAATCCAGGAACTACAGGTTGGGGGTATTGTTTCCGCACGGACAGATATGTTGACGGTACCTCCGGGGTACCTACTGTGTGTTGTCCCTTACACTCTCTCTTCTCTTCTGCGGCTGCGACCCGACAGCATGTCAGTTTCTGCTCCCCAATAAAGTGAGATTTGCACCTCCGATGCACCGCCTCCGTCTCTCTTCTCTCGGCACTACAATGTCAGATTAAATAATGTTCACAGGAGGTATACAGAATCATTACATCAATAAACTGTTTCTACTTAATGAAGGAGGAACGATGTGTTTCAAGATGCCTTTCCTCTGTCACCAATGAGCAGAAGACGGATATCAGGCTGTTAGAAGACTAG